GGACCCATTGCAACAATGAGATGTACAAGTCGTTATGTCAAAAACGAACTTTACAACTTTGGTGGGGGGGGGAGGAGGAGGGTTGGGTGGGAGGGCAGGGGAAGGATGAGATGGGAAGGGGAAACAAAGGAGGAGGCTACAATGCTTGATAAGAAATGTACTCATTATCTTGCCCATGTAATTGTAACCCCTTTGTACAGTATTTTCACAATAAAAAAATAAAATTATATGGGCAAATACATAGATCACTTAGGCTGTGAAAGTGTTGTATAAAAGTCAGAGTTGCCTCAACTGAATGCAGGCAGTAATAATAGTCATTGCAGAATATTTAAAAAGGGTAACAAGATCAAAAGTTAGTTTGCTTTTAATCACCAGGCATGGCTCATCAAAATAATGCCAGTACTAGGAGCAAATGGCTCACACCTGTACAGTAGTGCTAGCTACTCAGGAGGCTGAGGACTGAGGTTTAGTGTGTGCTCTGGTACTGAGACATGAACTCAGGGTCTGGACACTGTCCCTTACCTTTTTTGCTCAAGGCTAAACTCTACCACTTGAGTTACAGCTCAACTTCCAGCATTTTGGTGCTTAACTAGAGATAAGAGTTTTATGGACTTCCCTGTCCAGGATGGCTTTGAACCATGATCCTCAAATCTCAGCATCTTGCATAGGATTACCGGGGTGAGCTACTGGCATGCTGTGGAGCATCAAGGTTTAAAACCAGCCAGGCAGCTCTTATCTCCAACTAACCACACACATACTCCCCAACACACACTCCCCAACACACACACACACACACCCCAAACAGAAGAAGTGGATATGTAGCTCCAGTGAAAGTGCTAACCATGAGTAAAATACTCTAGCCAAGTAAGAATAGGATTGAGGGAGTGGGGGACAAGGCCGTTGTCAGTGATGAACTTCCCTCATAGATCATTGTTGAACCATCATGTACAATAGGACCTTTTTGCTAAACCAAATCAGAGGTATCTGAGACTACTAGCCAGTTGAAATAATTTTCAAATGGGTTAGCAAAATTCAAAGAGACTATCTCTAGTAAGTCATCAAACTTTATTAAACTTTAAAGATTTGGGTAACTGTTAAGGTTTTATTTTTATTTTTGTGTCCTTTTTTAGTATTCATGGTTTTTCTTTGAAATAATTGCAAAGTCAATGGCCACATACTTGTTGGAAGAGAATAAAATTAAGGTAAGTAGGCTCAATTATAATTTTAAATTCTTTTATACTATAAAATTTGTTTTAAAGTTACAGATTGGGATTCCTTTATCTGAAACGGTTGGAAACAGAAGAATTTCAGATTTTTAAGTATTTATATATGCATAGTAAGATATTTTGGGATTGGAACTCAAGTTGTAGCCTGAAATCTGTTTCCTATGTAACTTATATGCATACTCTTTAAGATATTTTTATGCAACAATTTACATTTGTACTCTGTTATTTTCTTATATGTTCTTTTTAGTGGCACTAGGTTGAAACTAAATGCTTCATGCTTGCTAGACTAACCGTTTTACAGTGCTTTGTGGGGTTGGGGGCACTTTACCACTGGAGCCACAGCTCTGCTTCTATCTTTTGTAGTTAATTGTAGATAAGATTCTCATGGACTTTCCTGCCTGGGGTGGCTTCAAACCACGATCCTCAAGTCTCAGCCTTCTGAGTAGCTAGAATTACAGGCGTGAGCCACTAGTGTCCAGCTTAGTGTTATTTTTAAGAATGGGCCTCACTTTCTATCCAGGCTTATATGAAAGATATAATGCACTTTTAGATTTCCTGTAGTTGCTAAGATCACAGGTACATATCACTGACTCCAGCTTTCTGCTTTGGAGGTGGAGGACAGTCTCTTGGACTTTTCTGCCTGGCTAGCCTGGAACTGTGATCCTCCTGTCCTTCCCAAGTAGTTAGGATCACAGTTGTGATCTACCCAGATCCCACCGCACCTGTGTTTTGACTTGTATCCCAATACATGAGGTCATTGTGGAATTTTCCAGTTGTGGTGTCACATTAATGCTCAATTTCAGAGTTTGAAACATTTTGGATTTCAAATTTTTCAATTAAGAATGTTCAACCTATACCAAGGAATGTTCTCAGTTATAGGAATAATAAAACTAAGTCTTGTGGAGTAAAAAAAATCATCTGTTATTATTTTAAAAAATAACTTATGAGCCGGGTGCTGGGGGCTCACACCTGTAATCCTAGCTACTTAGGAGGCTGAGATCTGAAGATCACAGTTCAAAGCCAGTCTGGGCAGGAAAGTCTGTGAGACTATTATCTCTAATAAACCACCAGAAAACCAGAAGTAGTGCTGTGGCTCAAGTGGTAGAGTACTCACCTTGAGCTGAAGAGCTCAGAGACAGCACCCAGGCCCAGAGTTCAAGCCCCATGACCAACTAAATTAATTAGTTAATTAATTAAACTTTTGAGCAAGGCACCCATGGCTCATGCCTATAATCTGGCTACTCAGTAGGCTGAGATCTGAAGATTGCTTATCAAAGCCAGCCTGTGCAGGAAAGTCTGTGAGACTCTGATCTCCATTCACTACCATAAAAGCCAGAAGCAGAGCCATGGCTCAAGTGGTAGAGTACCAGCCTTGAGCAAAAAAGCTCAGGGACTTTTCCCAGGCCTTATGTTCAGGCCCCAGGACTGGAACAAAAAAATTTTATAGAGAGACTTTACTGAAACTGAGATATGTGGTTTTTGTACCAGAAAAAAATAGATTATAATCTTGTGTAACTGAATTGTGGGAACAAGAGTTTCCAAAGGTAGGTCAAGATGATCCATTCTTACTGATAATTTTGGTTATTTATATTATTAGAGAACAAAATTGTTCCTGTAAGGATCTAGAATAAAATATATACTGCCCTGGTGATGTCATCTCTTTTGGTAGAGTCTATACTGGGTTTGAACTCAAGGTTTCACACTTGCTCAGCCAGTACTCTACCACTTGAGCCACATCTCCTGCCCACATTTTGCTGGGTATTTTGGTGCTGGAATCTCACCGATTTTTCTGCCCAGGTTGACTTTGAAACAAGATATTCCAGATCTCAGCCTCCTCAGTAACTAGGATGTAATCCACCAGTACCCAGTTCGATGATGTCTTTTTTTAACCGGGCGCAAAAATCATACTTCAGTTTAAAAACACTTATATAGAATGTATTTGAAGGTAAAAATGGCAATTGCTTTAAGGCTTTTTCTATCCCTATTGAAGCTTCCCAGGGGCCAGAGATTTCCTGAAGCATACCATCACGTCTTACACTCACTGCTGCTTGCCATAATTCCCCATGTGACTATTCGCTATGCAGAGATTCCTGATGAGTCAAGAAATGTGAATTATAGTTTGGCTAGTTTTCTGAAGGTGAGTTAAAATGCAGCCTGAACCTGGTAAGGAACTCTTCTTGAAAGCATAAACAAAAAGTTCCCTGTTTTTCTACTGACTGGATGGGCTAGTTCTTTAGGCTATTGGGCTAACTCTGGACTGAAATGATGAATCAGTTCCACCAAGTTTGGACCTCACCTCCACTCCACTAAAATAACTAATTAAATCAAAAGCCCCACAATGGTGGTTTTGCCAGAAGACAAGTTTTACCTATTTTACAGTATATTTTAAGACATATTTCATCTAAATGCTGTTAGGTAGGCCACATACATCGGAAGTTTACCATAGTCTCTACTCCTTATCATTCCCCTCACACTCTTTTTGTATTTAAATTACCCCCCCCCACCCTGCATTGGCTTTTGAATGTGCAACTTTGAACCTAAAGCAACCTATTTGGTATCATAACTACACCATGAAAGTTGGTAATATATATCAATGAAAATTGTTAGTTTGGGTTGATGAGGTTATTCTATTTGGGAGATAGCAGAAAAATATATATGAAAGAAATCTGCTTACCATTGTTTTATTAGTGTCAATATGGAAGGGGCAGTATTAGACTGCAGCTGTTTTATAAAATGGGTAACAATATTTTATTTTTCACAGAGGATAGGTGTCACTTTGTAATACATTTAGTATGCCCTTTTTTCCATTACCCTTTCTCCTGATAGCTCTTCACCATGCATCAGCTTTTATTGAGAACTTCATGGTCACTAGGTATGGTAGCATCTACCTGGAATCCTAGCACTAGGAAGGCTGAGACACAAGGACTGAAAGTTAAAGGCCACTGTGGGCTACATAGAGAGACCTTGTATTTAAAAAAATAGTTCATGGACAATAATTCACTTAATCAGTTTTAGCATCTGATATACCCTTGTTATTTTAATTAAAAATTCATACATAGGGCTGGGAATGTGGCTTAGTGATAAAGTGCTTGCCTGGCATACACGAAGCCCTGGGTTCAATTCCTTAGTACCACATAAACAGAAAAGCCAGAAGTGGCATTGTGACTCAAGTGGAAGAGTGCTAGCCTTGAGCAAAAAAAGAAGCTCAAGGACAGTGCTCAGGCCCTGAGTTCAAGCCCCAGAATATGATTTTACTTGAGGAAGGCAGAGTCTTCTGACATTTCCCAAGCTGGCCTCAAATTCCTGGGCTCAAGGGATCTTTCAGTCTCAGCCTCCAAGAGTAGCTGTCACACAACAGTGACTGAGTCTGACTCTGACTTTCTAATGTAAGAATTATTTTGAGGGGCTAGGAAGATGACTCAGTGGTAGAGTGTTTGCCTTGCATACATGAGGCCCTGGTAGAGTGCTTGGCTTGCATGCATGAGGGTCTGGGTTCGATTCCTCAGCACCACATAAACAGAAAAATCTGGAAGTGGTGCTGTGTCTCTAGTGGTAGAGTACTAGCCTTGAGCTGAAGAGCTGAGGGACAACACCCAGGCCCAGAGTTCAAGCCCCACAGCTGACAAAAATATCATTCTAGCTGAGATCTAGAGGATTGTAGTTCAAAGTCAGCAAGACTCTATGAGAATAGTCTGAGAGATTTCATCTCCAAAATAACCAGCAAACTATGCTGGACACATAGCTCAAGTGGTAAAGTGCTAGCCATGAGCAGTCTAGAGGGCCAGAGTTCAAACCCCAATATCAGCAAAAAATAAGTAACAATAATAATCCATATGTCTTTTTAAATTAAAATAAGGAGCCTGTGGCTGGTGGCTCATGTGTGTAATCCTAGCTACTCAGGAGGAGGCTGAGATTTGACGATCACAGTTCAAAGCCAGCCCAGGCAGGAAAATCCTTGAGACACTTATCTCTACTAAACAAGTGGTAGAGTGTTAGAATTGTGAAAAAAGAGCTCAGGAATAGTGACCATTCCCTGAGTTCAAGCCCCACAACCGACAAAAATAAATAAAATAATGATGAAATTATCTGAAAAGTGTTCAACAGACGTTAAAAATAAAGTTTACTATGTACAGGGAACAAAATATTGTTGATTTAATCATAGTATTTACTTAATTAGAGTAAACAAACATTTGTTAGGCTTCTATGTGAGGATTCAGAGAGGTGAGCTCACATTCAAATACATGTAATGATAAAAGTAGTAACACTGAAAACACAAAATACTGTAGAAGAATGAGAAATGGACAGTTATGACCAGGCATCATTAGCAAAAGCAAGAAGCATAGTTTACCCTTCTCCAAGACAGATCTGCTATTCATCCAGAATGGCAGCAAGCTCTATTGGGAAGCAAAGTTAGAAGTAAGTTAGAACATGCTCCTGAGCATCCTTCACTTCCGAGCTAAGGAGCTGGAGGCAACAAGAAGGTATTTCATTGTTTTGGGGAAGAAGGTGACATGATTAGTGGTGTTTTAGACATTAATCCAAAGGAAATTGGAAGGGTGAGAGCCTGCTGGGCAATGAGAGCCTTAATGACTAGAATGACAGCAAGGTATCTATATCTTTGTTAAAATGAAAATATCATCTTAGTGTGGTGGGTTTTTTTTGGCAGGGGGAGGTGCTGGCCCTGGGCTTGCACTCAGGATTTGGGCCCTGTCTCTGAGCTTTTGTGCTCAAGGCTATCACGCCATCACAACTCCATTTCTGGCTTTTTGTTAGTTAATTGGAGATAAGAGTGTCACAGACTTTCCTGCCCAGGCTGACTTCAAACTGCAAGTCTCAGATCTCAGCCTCCTGAATAGTTGGGATTACAGGCATGAGCAACACTGGCTCCTAGCTGTAGAAGAAATTTTAAATCTTTTTGGAATTTCTATGTGCAACATATTCAGATTCACATAACTAACCTTTTATTTCACTTTGGTTTCTACAGCGCTGTTTGACACTGATGGATAGAGGATTTGTTTTCAATTTGATAAATGACTATGTGTCTGGATTCAGCCCCAAAGATCCCAAGGTACGTTATGAGGACATAATCATAGTGGGTGTCGGACATTAGAGCATGACCCCCCAGGTGATGCTTGTTCTGTTGTGAGGGAATTTGGACCAGCTGTTTTCATTTTGCTGTTTTCAGTATTAGTGTAACTCAAAGCAGGGACTATTTGGATGTGTTTTAAGGGGTTCCCAAGACCACCTGCCTGTTTGCAATTCATTAGCATCATTCTGGTGACCTGGTGAGGATCTTCGGCTGGAGTCTGTGGCTGTTCCCAGACAGACTTCTGAACTCTTTCCCTTCTGGTTAGAGTCACTCTCCTCCAGCAGTGAAGCAGCCATATGTGTCTAAGAGTTGTTGTTTTTTTCAGATAATCCCTTGTGAACCTCAGAGTTGAGTGGGTTTTATTGGGAAACTAGTCATCTATTGAAGCTGGTCAAAATTTCAGATGCTCAGAAAAGAAAACAAAACGATGTTCGCCATAAGTCACACTGTCAGTCCAAAGGCTCCTAGGAAAGACACAGTCTCATCCTGTAGGGAATATATCAAAATCCCATTTCTGCAAGTGGCATTGTGGCTCAAGTGGTAGAGTGCTAGCTTTGAGCACAAAGAGTCTCAGGGACAGCATCCAGGCCCTGAGTTCAAGCCCCACAACCGACCAAAAATAAATAAATAAATAATACCAAAATCCCATTTTCCAGTTGCAAATCAACATCAGCATTATGACAGGTCTTTGAAATGCAGCATTATGGGGCCTGCTGTACTTACTGTCTCTTGCAAAGGTTTCATCTCCAGGCCTTCTTAGAATACTTACACCTTCCTGTTACAAATTAAAAATACAACTTCTAATGTTTTGTAAGTACTTGCTGAATCTAAGTTAATATATGATATCCTCCCATTTAGGTTCTGGCTGAATACAAATTTGAATTTCTACAAACAATTTGTAATCATGAGCATTACATTCCTCTGAACTTGCCAATGGCATTTGCAAAACCTAAACTGCAACGAGTTCAAGGTACGTATTTGTGTTTTCCATTTTTTGAAATTGTTTATTTCCATTTTTTATTGTGAAAATACCCTACAGAGGAGTTACAATTACATGGGCAAGATAATTAGTACATTTCTTATCAAGCATTGTTGCCTCCTCCTTTGTTTCCCCTTCCCATCCCTTCCCATCTCCCACCCACCCTTCGCCCCTCACCCCTCTTCCTGCCCAAAGTTGTAAAGTTCGTTTTTCGACATTATTGTAGCATGTTTTCTAGCTAAACCAGTTAGCCTGAAGTTAGCTGCAGTACTGTTAGCATGTGAAGATTCTGTCCATTAAGACTATGGCGCCTTTTCTCTGTAGTATCAGTGGGAGTATTCACAGATTGGAGAAACTGGGTGTGTAACATAGATTTCTGTGTAAACACAGATGTCAGATAGTAGGAAAATTTCTCTTTGCAATAGAGTGTAGGAGCTTATTTGAATCTTAAATGAAGAAAAAGCATACAGAGAAAGCATACAAAAAAGGAAATATACAAGCAGAGGACAATAGTAGCATGTATGTACTAAACTTATGAAATGCCTGTAGTATTGATCTCCATTGCTAGTTTTATTGAATGCTTTGTTGTGTAGCACTATTCTTATGTTACTATGTTTTTTATTTGTCCCCTTTCTTTTCATATATTAATTAGATTTTTTTTCATTTGCGGTGGACCGTTTGACTTCAGTAGGTAGGTTTAACTCGGTTCACTCTAAAGTAGTAATGCTGTTTCTAAACGCAATTGATGGGATGAATGGCTAAGATGGATGGGGGCTTGGTTTGCTTTTCAAATCCTCCCTAGCCAACATGAGCCGTTAAATGTATCATACCCAGAACATCTAGAAGGTGGTGTGTATGTCTTTATTTTTTTAAATAATCTTTGAGTGTTGTGAAAGGAATCATCCTTTTGAAGTCTGCCCTCAGGAAACAACTTCTACTACCAGCCAGCTTGGGGGATCAGGGGTGGGCTGAAGGGTATGTTTTCTACTAGGGAGGGGAAGCACTTCTCCAGATTTGCCTCCTCTCTCACCTTCTTTCATGGCTGCTTGGCCCCAATTTTAAAGCTGTGCCTGAAAATACCTGATTGGATTCATTTACATCACTGAAGTTAAAAAAAAAAAAGAACACTTCATTACCATTGAAAAAAATCTACCCCCAAAAGCTACCTTGATTAGTCAGTACTTCTTGGCCCTTGTACATAGAAAATAATTATAATCCACAAAAAAACAGAATGACAAATGAAGGAAGAAAATGTTATGTTTGAGTCTTTCAGGATGTTTCTGCTCACTGGTGATGGTCTTAGCAGTGGAAATCAAACCAGTTACCTTGCAGACATCTTCAGAATTTTATTCTGACCATGTATCACTAATATACATCCCCTAGTATTTACTAATAGCTATGAGTGAGTCAGGGAAAAGGAGAAGATAAATAATAAAGATTTAGGATTAAAATTAATTATTTGCATCACTTATAATGTCCTAACTGGATACCATTGCATTATATTAAGTGATAAACAGCCTAATATTTTTTAAGGGAACAAAGACAAAAACTTTTAGCTTTCTGGCCTAACTAACTTATATAGTAGGGGAAGAGAAAAATAGAAATCTATTATAGAAATTAATAAACTTGCCAAGTGTGGTTGCTTGTGCCTATTATTACTAGCTACTCAGAAGATAAGGGTTGGAAGGATAGAGTTGATTGCCAAACTAGACAAAAAGTTGTGAGACTCCATGTCAACCAATAAAATTTGAACATGGTGGTACATGCTTGTCATCCTAGCTAAGAGGGAAGTATAAACAGGAGCATCATAGTCTAGGCCAGAATAGGAATAAATGGGAGATCCTAATTTAAAAAAAATAAAAAATGACTAAGAGCGTAGCCCAAGGGGTAGGACAACTGCCTAATAAGCACAAGGCCCTAAATTCAAACTTCATTATTCAAAAAAGGTTTTTTCATTGAACTTGATCACAATCCCTTCAGAAGTTTGGTGTGTGTGTGAGTGTGAGTGTGAGCGCGCGTGCACGCGCCCGTGCACATGCATCCATTCATGTGTGCTGGGTCTTGAACTCAGGGCCTGAGTGCTGTCCCTGAGCTTTTATGCTAAAGGATAGCACTCTACCACTTGAGCTGCAGCCCCACTTCCAGTTTTCTGGTGGTTAATTGGAGATAAAAGTCTCCCAGACTTTACTGCCCAAGCTGGCTTTGAACCGCAATCCTCAGATCTCAGCCTTCTAAGTAGCTAGGATTACAGGCCTGAGCCACCAGCTCCCGCCCCTTTTGAGTTTTCAGAGGCAATTCCCAACCATAGTACAAATATCTAACATTTAACATAGCCCAGAGATCTGAAAAGGAAAGAAAAGCACAATTTAAAGTACAATTTGGATATTAAAGCATATTAGGATATTAAAGAACTGGAGTGAAATGAGGCTGATTGGGTATTTTCCTTGTAGCTCATGTATATGTTTAGGCCAATACATAATGATGACTACAATAGTCAATAGTTATACTTATTATTGTTAGACTGAGCCAATTGTCAAGTTTCTCCTCCTTTTCCCATTTTACAAGGAATAAATGGATAAATAAATTAAGCATTGTTCAGAATTGAATTTCTAGTTGTCACTAAATCCCTTCAGACATAAAGAAATGTGTTGACATTGCCAGATATAGAACAATTTCACTTTAGGTTCTAATTGAAGATTTCTAAGACTTTTGAAAAAAATCAAGGGTAGGGGGTGGCGGAAATCAATCTAAAGTCTTTTTTCCTTTCTGAAATTGTCATTAAAGCTGCCATCTAGTCCTAATTACCAGAGCTTCTGGCTTGTAAAATTTTTGCATGCTCATTTTATATTCTAAAAGAATCAACCCATTTTTCATCATTAATCAAAAGTATAATCCTTGCTGGCATGATCACATATTAAGTGAAGACATTATTTTAATGGTATTTTATGGTAACTTTTGGAATTTTGTTAAGTGTTCTAAATTTTATTGCACTGCAGATTCAAATCTTGAATACAGTTTATCAGATGAGTATTGCAAGCATCATTTCTTGGTTGGTCTGCTTCTGAGGGAAACCTCCATTGCTCTTCAAGACAATTATGAGATCAGATACACAGCTATCTCTGTAATAAAGAATCTTTTGATAAAACATGCATTTGACACTAGATACCAGCACAAGGTAAGGATGTCTGCACTTCTTCCATATCACATTAGTAAGTTTCTATTAAGATTTTTCATTAAAGATGGTTTCAAAGCTGGGCATCAGTAGCTTAGGCCTATAATCTTAGCTACTTAGGAAGCTGAGATCTGAGGATCACAGTTGAAAACCAGTGTGGACAGAAAAATCTGTGAGACTCGTATTTCCAATTAACCACCAAAAAAAAATCCAGAAGTAGAACTATGGTTCAAGTGTTAGAGAACAAGCCTTGAGTAAAAAGCGAATGGATAGTGCCCAGGCCCTGAGTTCAAGCCCTAGGACTTGCCAAAAAAAAAAAGATGAAGTTTCCAGCCACTCACAGAATATAAACAATAATGTAAATATATGTGTATAAATAAGTTTTGTTTCCATTTCAAGTAATTAGCCCTTAAGAAGAAAATCTGTCCCAGTAGTTGTTAAAGCAAAATACTGGCTCCTCAAACCATTTTTTAAAATTTTTTGGTGCAGTGAACAAATCCAAGGCCTGTATGCACTGTACTGCACCACTGAGTTATATATTGCCAGCTCCTCAGATTTAAGAACAAGATAGAACTGAGCACTGGTAGCTCACACCTGTAATTCTAGCTACTCAGGAAGCTAAGATCTGAGGATTGTGGTTTAAAGCCAGACTGGGCAGGAAAGTCCATGAGACTCTTATCTCCAATTAACCACCAAAAAGCCAGAAGTGGAGCTATTATGGCTCAAGTAATAGAGCATTAGCCTTGAGTGAAAAGGCTCAGAAACAGCACCAAAAAAAAAAAAACGAAAGAAAAAAAACAAAGAAACAGCACCGAGGCCCTGAGTTCAAACCCAAGTTTTAGCAAAAAACAAAAAAGATAACTGCTTCATGATTTATTCTTTTTTTTTTTTTTGGTTGGTTGTGGGGCCTGAACTCTGGCCTGGGTGCTGTCCCTCAGCTCTTCAGCTCAAGGCCAACACTCTACCACTTGAGCCTCAGCGCCACTTCCAGCTTTTTCTGCTTATGTGGTGCTGAGGAATTGAACCCAGGGCCTCATGCATGCGAGGCAAGCCCTCTACCACTGAGCCACCTTCCCAGCCCCATGCTTCATGATTTACTATGTAAACTAATTATGAACATTCAAAGCCAGACCTGGCAGGAAAGTCCATGAGACTCTTACCTCCAATAAACCACTAGAAAACCGGAAGTGGCACTGTGGCTTAGGTGGTGGAGCGCTTGCCTTGAGCTGAAGAGCTGAGGGACAGTGCCCAAGCCCATAGTTCAAGCCCCACAACCGACCAAAAAAAAAGATTAATAATGTGTCACAGCCATTTCAGTGTGTTTCATATATTTCCTGGTCACTTGTACTGTACTGTATATAAATCCAACTGTCTCAACAAAGTTCTGGACTAATTTAGTTTAAGTATTAACTCATTCTTCACTAATCTGTTTTGGATATTAGCCAGTTCGTACGTGTGTGTGTGTGTGTGTGTGTGTGTGTGTGTGTGTGTGTGTGTGTGTGTGTGTGTTGTGTCAGTACAGGGAACACAGTGGCTTGTTCTCTACCATTTGAGCCATACCTTCAGTCCAGATTTTTGGGAGATAGAGTCTCATGGACTTTTCTGCCTAGACTGGCCTCATACAGCAGTCCTCTAGATCCCACTCACCTGAGTAACTAGGATTATAGCTGTGAGCCAACAGTACCCCTCTTACTTGCAGTCTTTTTCTTTTTTTCCCACCATTTCTGGGCTTTGAACTCGAAGTCTGGGAGATACCCCTGAGGTTTTTTCCTCAAGACTGACACTCTACCACTTGGGCCATCTCCACTTCTGGATTTTTTGTGGTTAATTGAAGATAAAAGAGTCGACAGACTTTCCTGCCCAGGTTGGCTTTGAACCATATCCTAAACTCTCAGCCTCCCAAGTAGCTAGGAGGTGCCTAGCTCTTGGAGTCTTTTAAACTGATATATGAGTCAAGCCTGTTTTCTTAATCATATGTAAACATACTATATACCAATCATGGTTTTGATGATTAATTTTCAGAACCAACAAGCTAAAATAGCACAATTGTACCTCCCATTTGTTGGACTACTCTTGGAAAATATTCAGCGACTAGCAGGTCGAGACACCTTGTATTCCTGCACAGCCATGCCAAACTCTGTAAGTATTACCACATGTGTCTATTGGAGCTTTATGCTGTTTTACTGAATGCATTTAGAATTAGAGGTCATAGTGTGTGTGTGGTCTTTTGTCATCTTTTTACTTCACTTTCTCATTGCTACCAGTTTTCCTAGAGCAGGACGTCTCAAAGTCACAGATTTGTTATGTCAGCCATAGGCAGAACCCCATAATCTGTTTCTAATGAATTTAACTGACTCTGAACCAAGGAACATAATTTAAATATTGAGGTCCAAAAGAACACCTAGCACTTAGGAAGCAGAGGCAGTAGGGTCATGAGTTTGAGGACAGCTTGGGCTATACAGCAAGTTCCAGGCTAGCCAGGCTACAAAATGAGGCCCTATCTCCAAAACTGATATGCTAATAAGAATTATATGCTATTACTTTGCCCAGTGAGACCCATCTTCCCGTTCTAAACAATCGCAGATCACCTAGCACTTTGCATAGCTGTGTCATATTGTTAGGTGACAGGTTAAATTGTATCCTCTACAGGTTACTCTGGAATTTTCCCCAAGAAATACCCCAGCTGCTGTCTTAGTCTTGCCTGAGATTCTAGGCCATTTTTAAGCTTGCCTGGGGCACTCAGTCATGTTAGTGAGTTGCAGGTGCATGTACGCTGCCACCTCCCTGGGGGGTCCAGCTGGTCCTTCTTCACATGTAGCAGCTCATGCATATGTTTGCTCCACATATATGTGTCAGGGAAAATTGGAAATATTTCACTTATCTGTTGTTTTTTATTTAAGTTCAAGTTCACTTAGGGCTGATGATCATACCCATTCTAGCATTGTTAAAAGGTTCCCAGGAAGAAAACTGAGTGATGTTTAAGCTGTACCAGTTATAGCCCTGTAAACTTATGCCATTTGGCCACAGATCATGTATATAGCAGCATGCTAGCAGTTTTGTTGTGTATGTGTGTGTGCCCACGTGTGCATATGTGCCAGTACTGGGGCTTGAAGTCAGGACCTTGTGCTCTCGCTTGGTGTTTTTTTTTGGGGGGGGGGGTCCGGTCGTGGGGCCTGAAATCTGGGCCTGGGCGATGTCCCTCAGCTCAAGGCTAGCGCTCTACCACTTGAGCCACAGAGCCACTTCCGGCTTTTTTTCTTTTTTCTTATGTGGTCCTGAGGAATGGAACCCAGGGCCTCAGGCATGCAAAGCAAGCGCTCTACCACTGAGCCACCTTCCCAGCCCATTCACTTGGTGTTTTCATTAGGCTAGTGCTCTACTGCTTGAGCCACTGCTCTCCACTTCTGAACTTTACTGCCTGGACTGGCTTTGAAACTCAATCCTCAGATCTCACTTTGCTGAGTAGCTGGGATTGTAGGTGTGAACCACCAGTGCCCAGCTAGCAACTGTTTCTTTTTAAAGAGAGTTACCTAAATACTGACTACAGGCACCACCTGATTTAGAGTTTCTTACTCTAAACTTGGTTTAAAACTCTAGAGCACCATCTTACTCTGTTCCTTCAGACTCCTCTACTAGTGTGCAAATTGGTTTAAAGGACACAGGTATCACATTCTGTTTCAGGCATCCAGGGATGAGTTTCCATGTGGCTTTTCTTCTCCTGCAAACAGAGGGAGTCTAAGCACTGAAAAGGACACTGGTAAGTCACCCTTGTAAAGATTATATATTGCATAAGGGTTTTGAAATATTTCATTCATAAAACACAGCATGATCTCTACATTTTCATCAAAAATTGACACTCTTGCAGCCATCTTTCTTTGCCTAGATTGTCTAAGCTTGTGAAAACACAGCTAGGTATACTGGCCAAACAGAAGATGAAGGAAGATACTGGCCTCCTATTATCTTTTATCTGTCACTTGTTTGGGGCAAGACACCTTTTCTTGGCCCCAGTTTCCTTAGCTGTAAAATTGTCTTAAATTATGTGCATTATTTTAGGACTTCCAAAGCAGTTCACATAGTTTCACACACAGTGAAATGTGTGAGGGGGGAGCAATCATTTGATCTTTACTTGGTCTCTTATGGGGCTTTGATAAAGAGTATAAATTTCACATTTTAGCTTATCAAGATCAATTCCTTGTAATATATACCAGAGACTTGGTTTTTTTTCTCCAGCCTATGGATCTTTTCAAAATGGCCATGGAATTAAGAGGGAAGATTCAAGAGGTTCTCTTATCCCTGAAGGAGGAACAGGCTCTCCTGACCAGGGCAGCACTGGTGAACATGTAAGGAGCTAAATATATAGGAAAATCCTAGTAAAGTCTTAGGCTATTGTGGTCTTTCAAAACAGACATTCAAGTACCAATGGCTCACACCTGTATTCCTAACTACTCAGGAGGCTGATATCTGAGGGTCAAGCTTCGAAGCCAGTCCAGGCAGGAAAGTTTGTGAGTCTCTTATCTCCAAATAAACTACCAAAACATCCAGAAGAGGAGCTGTGGTTCAGTGGTAGAGTGAAAAAGCCAAACGAGAGTACAAGGCACTGAGTTCAAGCCATAGTATTGGCAACAAAAAAACTAACTCAATAGTCAAGTAGCCTTCTACCTCCTATAGTCTATCTTGTGTCTGTAAAAAAAAAAGTATTCCATGATTTCATGGATATTTTAGCAGTCCCTTCCTATCCTGTGAACTGCCATCCTTAGTTTAAGAAATCCTCCCTGTGTACCCAGGTTGGCCTCAATGTCACAATCTTCCTGCTTTACTCAGCCCTCCTGATTTATTTTGCTGAGCTAAGATCTTGTTTTGTTACCTGGGCTGATCTCAAGCTAGTTGGCAGTTGGCTTAAATAATCCTCCTGCCTCAGTATATTTATGTATCTGTCTGCCTAGGGTACTGGAGTTTGAACTCAGGGTCTCACATTTGCTAGGCTGGCATGATGTAGAATTATACCTCCAGCATTATTTGCTCACATTACTTTTAGGATAAGGTCTCACTTCTTGCCCAAGTATGTCTAAGCCATAATCCACACCTACTTTCAGGCATCATTGCTGGGGACACAGACATGGCACACCACCACATCCAGCTTCACCCTCTGTGGAGGAGTCTCCTGGACTTTTCTGCAAGGGTTTGCTGGGTACCACAATCTCCTAAAACCATCCCCCTGTGTAGCTCGGGATGACAAATGCTCAGCACTGCACCCATCTGTGGGTTGAGAAGGTCTTTTGAACTTCCTGCCTATTCTGGCTTGAAACTGCAGTCCTCCTCTACTCAGCTTCCCAGGTTGCTAGGATTTACAAGTATGAAGCACTTGTGCCTGAGTGATTTCCGTTTTTTCAGCTGTAGTTTTGCTATATTGACCAGTCTAGTCTCAAGCTAATGGGTTTAAACAATAGTCCTGCCTCAGCCTCCTGATTTGTTTTAAATCTAGGATCTTGCCATGTTTCCTAGGCTGATCTCAAGCTAGGGGACTTAGATCTTCCTGCCTCAACCTCCCTAATATTTGAGAGTACAGGTTCATACCACCATTTCCTGCTTACTTGGGTATTTCAAATTATTTATAGGGAAGAAAGCATTATTCTTCAAACATTTTACTCAGATTATTTCCTTCCAACCTCAGTCACTACATTGTAACCTATTTGAGAGTAAAATTCAAGTTAAAAATAATATGTGGGGGCTGGGAGGTGGCTCAGTGGTAGAGTGCTTGCCTTGCATGCATGAGGCCCTGGGTTCTATTCCTCAGCACCACATAAGCAGAAAAAGCCGGAAGTGGTGCTGTGGCTCTAGCCTTGAGCACTAGTGATAGAGCATGAGCCTTGAGCTGAAGAGCTGAGGAACAGCACCCAGCCAGGCCCAGAGTTTAGGCCCCATGACCAACCCCCCCCAAAAATAATAATATGTCTTGTCATTTAAATTAAAGCACATGTTAGTAGTAGGATTCTTTCATTCTTTTGTGATAGATTAATAACACTAACTTGAAAGAAAAAAATTGCCTCCAAATTGTTGGTTTCAGAATGTCAGTGTCACTTTAAGAGCATGTCCTCCAGCTCTTTCCTCAGAGTGCTTCAAGCTCTTCCAACATTAACGTCTGAATATGTCTGCTTTGAGGCAGACAGACCACATTTCAGACCAGTAAAGTATGCTATGTAAAATCATAGAATCATCTCAACTGAGTTAGAAAGGTCCATAAAAATAATTCCAACTCTTGGGCTGGGAAGTTGGCTCAGTGGTAGAGCACTTGCCTTGCATGCATGAGGCCCTGGGTTCAATTCCTCAGCACCACATAAGCAAAAAGAAAAAAGCCGGAAGTGGCGCTGTGGCTCAAGTGGTAGAGTGCTAGCCTTGAGCTGAAGAGCTGAGGGACAGTGCCCAGGCCCAGAGTTCAGGCCCCATGACCGACAAAAAAAAAATAATAGTAATTCCAACTCTCATTTTACAAGTGAAAACTGGCCTCTTGAACAGCCACACAGCTTTGGCACTGCCATATTGAGATCTAGACTTTTTGCAATTCCAAGGCTTTTCCTGCTATATCATGGTACTCTTAGTATGCATCAGAATCATCTGAAGGTATCAATAAAAATAGATGGCTAGACCTCACCACAGTGAAATCCAGTAGGTCAGGAACAGGACCTGCTAATTTATGTCTCTGAGCCCCTCAGTGCTGCTGATGCTGTGGCTTAGTAAGTACCTTTTGAGAACTGCTGGACTGCACATCCTTGGGCCTTTATTCACAAATGTTCCTATTTTATACCATTTAGAAATATGACAGTGGTGACTGCCATAGATAAGGCAAATTAATGTCAGAGCAGTTAAATGACTTATTAATAGATACGCAGCTAAGAAGCAATCATAACCTAAGTCCATTGTGCTCCAAGTGAATTTTTTTTCTTAATCCAAATTAATAAATGTGTACCCCTTCTTTAGCTCAGCTAAAAGTGTTTCTTAACAAGGGTATATTCTTTAGATTATTACCTCTATTCGTACAAATCCACAAATGTCAGATCTTACAATGCTTAGCTTCTGATATTTAAAAAGACTTCATTAAAAAGAACATAGCTACTTTTTTGTTGTTGTTGTTTGTCATGGGGCCTGAACTCTGGGCCTGGGTACTGTCCCTGAGCTCTTCAGCTCAAGGCGAGCACTCTACCACTTAAGTCACAGCACCACTTCCAGTTTTTGGTGGGTAATTGGAGACAAGACTCTCATGGACTTTCCTGTCCTGTCTGGCTTTGAACCACCACTCTCAGATCCCAGTCTCCTGGGTAGCTAGGATTACAGGTGTGAGCCAACGGCACTTGGCCAAACAGCTACTTTTTAAAGGCTCTAATTTGGTAGTATCACCAATTCCTAATTAGTGTAATTATCTTCTCATTGAACTATTTCTTAGATTATGTGACCAATGATTAGAGGTTGGAGTTTTAGTGGACCATAGAGATTCAAATGAATTAATTTTTTTTTTTGCAATGTTGGGACACAAACTCAGGAAGTTTTACATGCTAGGAAAGTGTTCTTCCCTTTGAACTTTTTTTTTTTTTTGCTTGTCAAGGTGCCTGACCCTGGGCCTGGGCGCTGTCCCTCAGCTCTTCAGCTCAAGACTAGCACTCACCACTTGAGCTATAGCACCACTTCCGGCTTTTTCTGCTTATGTGGTTCTGAGGAACTGAACCCAGGGCTTCATGCATGCAAGACAAGCACTCTATCACTGAGCCACCTTCCCAGCCCCACTTTGAACTCTTCAGCCCTAAAATGTTTTGCTTTCAAATATTGTAATTCTCCCACACAGAAGGAGAAACAGCCACCTATCGTAAGTTTAAAACATTGGGACTAAAACACAAGATGTATGGAAATAAAATATTTAAATCTTTCATGGTTATATATTCAAGTCCCCAAAGAAATGTCCAGTGGTATCACTAGGTACTATAACAACAAAGATTAACTCATTTACCAGCCAATTGTGATACAGAATTTAGATTGATTTTTATGATTTTCCCAAATAACATTAGCAATAGTTATTGAGCTTAAACTGTGGGATAGTGTCATATGGCTAGTCTCACAAACGTCCTCTCTTTATATTACAGACCCGACAGAGTTCTACAAGGAACAGTGTATCGCAGTATAACCGGCTGGATCAATATGAAATCAGAAGCCTCTTGATGTGCTACCTGTATATAGTAAAAATGATTTCTGAGGGTGAGTTACCAGCATATTCAGAGTAAACTACTAGGTGTCTGTCATGATAGGTTCACAGACCATTATCTGTTAGATGACATGATCATTAGGAACAGACCTTTGAAGATTCTGATTTTAAAATGTCCCTAAAATGAGCCTTAAAATAAGGGCATATTCGTCATATAAGTTTGACTCTTTGAAATAGCTTAAAAATAAATATTAATTAAAGTTTATAAAACAATGCAATAGTTTTAGGAGAGCTGAACTGTTTTCATGCAGAGTATGTAATTCACTAAATACTCAGGATTAATAGGAAATAAATAATAACAACGGATAGATAATTCTATAGTTTTTATTTGACCCAGGATTTGAAAAATCAGAACCAAATAAATAAACACCAGAAATAAAAACCAAGTAAATAAACACCAGGGGGGAGGGAATGCCACCATTATCTCTGCAGCATCACTGGTACGCTCTGGTGTCTTGTCATCAGGCTGCTTTGCTCCTTGATGTAGAAATCATGTATTAATGTTACCAGATCCTGTTTACTCTCTATGCTGGAATATAACCAAGGATTAACTGCATGTCTTCTGAAAGTAAAATCAGATTCATTATTTATTCACACAATTCCCTCCCACTTCTTCCTTTTCTATTTTGCTCAAAAAAGTAGGCACTAATGAAAAATATAAAAGCCACCTACATTAAGCGTTACACAATACATACATGCAGTAAAATATAGGTGCCTTATAAATATGCAGTTAAAAGTAAATATAGAGCACCATGAAAATAAATAAATTTAAAGTAAAGCAAAAAAAAATACATACCTGGGTTCTGAGCATCATAATCACTGTTAATCTTGAACTGAGGTTCAAACTCAGAGCCTCACACTTGATTAGGCAAGTGTTTGACCACCAAGCTAAACCCCTAGCCCACATTCAAACTTACTTTATTTTTAAACTTACTTTTATTTTTAACTTACTTTACTAAATATTACTATTTATTTTTGCAACAGTGCATATCATAAAGCTATTACTAGCAACTAAAGCAAATCATCCTAAAGCACTTGAACAAAAATAAAATAATCTGAAAAATAAAACTTTTAGGAATGAATGATGGCCTCATCCATGTTTAGGCAAGTGCTTTACTACTAAGCTAAACCCTGAACCTAAGGCCTAGCACTTTAGTAAAATTTAAAAAAAATGATTTACATGAATAATAAATTCTAAGGCCACAACAGTAAAATAAAAAAACTGAAATATAAAATTTGCACTAATGGACAATTTAAAGTTACAAAAATTATACTCAGGGTATATGATGGGCCTCGATGTTTAAGGAAATAAATGTTTTTAAAAATTGTACTGGTCCTGGGGCTTGAACTCAGGGTCTGAGTACTGTCCTTGAGCACTCTTCTTTTGCTCAAGGCTAACTCTCTACCACTTGAGTCACAGTGTCCCTTTCAAATTTTTGTTTTTGAGTAGTTTATGGGAGATAAGGGTCAGGGACTTTCATGCCTGGGCTGGCTTTGAACCAGGATCCTGAAGTCTAAGCCTAGTATTACAGATGGGAGGCACCAACCCCATTTTTCAATTAAAAAAACAAAAAATACATGGGGGAAAAAACCTGAAAATTGGAAAGTAAGAAAAGAGAAAGAAAAGTGAAGGAGAGAAGAAATGCATTGGTGACTATAGATGTATACACTAGTCAGAACTGGTTGCTGACTAGTATATACATGTATACACTCACAGGTCAACACACACACATACATGCTGCCACTACTACCACACACACTATGCTAGCCAAAGACCAGTCTGGCAGCATTTTTTTATGTCATGGGTAAAACCATGATAGAAAAAGTTGATAGTTCTGCTTTGAAGTTGACAGTTCCACTTCATCTTCTTATAAATGTTGACCTTGCTTGCTCTCTGCCAAAGATTTCTTTGTTGATTAGATGTTTCTTTCTTCGGCTATTTTTGAGTTTTAGAAAAGTAGTCTGTCACCTCTGTATAAAGTCACAAGTGTCTGTATGTAAAGTCATGTCCATTTTATCCTGATAATGCTTCTGGATTCTTGTCAATGGATAGAGTTTACTTTCTTATTCTGCTTTTATTTACTTGGCTTTCTTTTTTTATAGAGTCATAAACAGTTGCAAGTATAATGTCAACAGAAAGATGGTCTTACTGTATACTTTTTTAGATGTAGGATTCTGAAGAATGTATTTCCCTCTTTATTTGTAGCTATATTTTATGAACTATAAACAATTCAATTTCTCAGTCTTGGAAACATTTGCCATTTTAGGTCTTTACTGCCTTATATTTATAGAGAGCAGTCAGGAATTATGTTAGTCTTTAATTAACTAGAAGACTGTCTTCTGGAGGAATAACCCCACAGGCAAGAAAGCTCTTAAGAGTTATCAGAAGATGGCCTGGCTTCTGTTTTTATTACAGGTCTTAAAGCATTATTGCTAGACTTACTTTGCACCTTTCTTTGTGCTTTGGTTTGCACCTTGCTTTGCCGTTTTGCATGCTGCCTTGTACTTTGGCTTGTGACTGGCTTTGCACTTTGGCTTGTGACTTGCCTTGTGCGTTGGCTTGGGCCTGGCTTTGCATTTTGGCTTGGGCCTGGCTTTGCGCCTTGGCTTGGGCCTGGCTTTGCGCCTTGGCTTGGGCCTGGCTTTGCGCCTTGGCTTGGGCCTGGCTTTGCACGTTGGCTTGGGCCTGGCTTTGCGCCTTGGCTTGGGCCTGGCTTTGCGCCTTGGCTTGGGCCTGGCTTTGTACTTTGGCTTGGGCCTTTCTTTGCACCAGGCTTTGTATCATACTTTGCACCTTGCATTACATCCTGCTGTGTATGTGTAGATGAACCAGTGTTTTGTTTCTTGAAAGACATCACAGGAGTAGATGGAACGGAAACCACAGTTTCACAAGGAATAGCAAGTGTTGATCTTTTCATAGTAGGCCTTGAAGTATAATCAGAGGGAAATATATTCAAAGTGTGTGTTATCTTTTTCTGTGAATTAGGAAGGCATGAGCTTACCTTATAACTCAACAGTTTCTCTGGTGTTTCACTATCGGAAGTTGGGCTGTCATCTGAGGAATTAGCAGAAAGGTCCAAAAGAAAACTTGACTTGCTTTCAGACTTGTCTGTGGAGGTCTGGTCCGAGTCATTTGTTGGAGCTTTCCTTTTTAACTCATTAACTTTCTGTTTAAGAAAGCTTGGGGTACCTGAAAGATCAGTGTCAGTTTCCTCTAGTAGAGGAGAAATTTCATTTGATTGTTCTTGGGCCGAGCCTCCAGAGCGTCCAGAGCGTCCGGAGCGTCCAGAGCGTCCGGAACCTCCAGAGACTCCAGAGCGTCTGGAGCCTCCAGAGCCTCCAGAGGCAAGCTGGCTATCACAAGGGCTTTTCTCAGTAGAGAGATTTGGGCTATCTGATGGAACTGTTAGAACTGAACATTCTTCCAGTTCCCTTCTAGATACAGATTGCCTCGGTCCTGAACGTGGTATCAGTGGTATTCTAGTGGGCTCCCCCAGACGAATTAGTTCTGAAGGCTCTTGGACTGAAAAAACTGACTTTTGAGTGGAAGGAATGAAATCATCATCATCACTATCAGAGAAGCAAATATACGATCGCTCATTCTTTGTTACTCGTAATGGTTCATTTTCAACACCTACTTCATAAACTTCTAAACTGGTGTCAGCATTGTTCCTAACACTTTGGTCCTGTATATCAAGCACTTCATCAATGGATTCGGCACGTCTCATCTTCATTAAACAGCAGTCACATGTTTTTGACTTTAACTGATGTTGCAAATCTTGTATGGTCCTTCTGAGGCTGTTACATTGTCTGAGCAAATCTCTTATTTTTAAGTCCTTCCGCCTTTCTACACTATTTAATGTTGCCTGTAAGTGATCAACCTCTTTTTCATGGAGCTCTTTTACCATCTGCAAGGCCTTTTCAAATTCATCAGAATCACTAAGAGTCAGTATGTCTTTTATTGAAGAATTAACACTTTCCCCGTCTTCTGCTCCACTGCCCTCAGCAGACTCCATCTTGTTTCACTGATTTAGAAACAATTAAAATAATTAGTTCCAAACAATATG